ATGAGTTTCCTACCATGTTCTCTATGGGTATCTCGGAAACTACTGGAGATAGAGAGTCGGTTAAATGGGGAAAGAATTGCAGTTTTGTGAGGTCATAAATATGCGCCTTTCGGATTTTTCGGAGAAGTTCAAGGCTTACTAGATATTTCGAAAAACACAAATTTTGGCTATTTTAAAACTTGTCTCTAATTCCATTATAATCTACCGTATGATCGAATAAAAACGGAGTCAACGATGGCTATGAAATGAAGATCGTTGTCATTCTATATGTAAAATTATATGGGAAATATCATCGATCGTTATTTCATAGCCAACGCTGATGCCGTTTTTATTCGATCATATGGTATTTTAGACAAAAAGTTTTCAGATAAAAGTTGTAGATAATCACATACCTAATGAGTTTGTGTTTTCTATTTTTTTTTCTAAAGCCAACACAACATTATGTTTCTTGTTAAATGGAAATCCTAGTTGACCATGACTTCATAAAAAGCGCCATTCTTCAAGCTTTTCAGCGATATAGGTATAATATGTTTTCTTTCGAACAATTACAAGTTATAGCCAATTCTTTTCTTTCTTGGCTAATTCCCATACCAATAATACCATGCCAATTAGTTGGCATCAAAAATGTAAAATGTTTTATGTTTTCAAAAAAAAAATATTGTAAAATTCGTAAGCACTCAATTTAGAATAAAATAATCTAAGAATGAAATGATTCTTTTATAAACCTGCATTAAATCAAATTAAAATAGATATGTAACTTTTTTTTAAATATTAATTAACAACAATTAGCATTATCATAAATTATAAATAATGTACCAACATCGAAATAATAATTTCTTTGTTAATACGGTTTAGAATTCTTAAAATTGCAGGCAAAAATAATCCACAATTTACAATAAAATAAAAGTTTCGTTTAAATTTCTTAATCAGCTGATCATTATTAAAGTTCGCAGAAACCCGGGGCTATATTATTACATTACTCTGAGGAAAATAACGAAAATAATCGATATTTTTGACTCCGCCCCGAAAGGTTCACGATTTGTCCTCCAGTTGGCAGCACATTTTGTCTAGTCGGTTGAACAACTTTAAGAATATATAGACAAGGGTAATACTTTAATTTTCATTATAATATAGAGACAAAAAATATAGTTTGTTCAGAGAAAAAAATCGGAAATATGTTGTTTATAAATGTACAGGGTTGTTCACCACATACGACACGGAGTATTGTAGCTAAACGATTAGATTTTTACAAATTGTAAGTTTTGGGTTCGTTGAAGGACTATTAGAGCTACAATTTAAAAATATTTTTACAAGATACAGATTGTCCCAACTAAGTAAAAAACATTATAGTTGTATTTTTTTAAATGGTACGCCCTGTATATTATTCTATTTTTAGATTCTACGATTAAAATAAAGGTAAATTTTATTAAGGTTTATTATTGTGACGTCGTTCATGTCGGCGGAAAGTAATGCCTAGCCTTAAGCATTCTGCCGGAGCACCTGTGGGTCACCTTGTATAGGTACAAATACATATTATTAATAATAATAACCGTGAATAATAAATAGATCTGAAATCAGTGACTAGTAATGAAATCTACTTGGTTTCAAATTAGATTATTTAAGGTAAAGTGGATCACAGTTATTGTAGATGTTAAGTTTTAAATAGTTGATAACTATTTGGCCATTTTATTAGTTAATAGTTTAAACAAGTGTGCGATTAGACATGTCTATTTGTTCAAGTCCTAAGTGAAATACATAATAATATAATTTGGGTTATTCCATTAAAATATTGAATACCTACTTATATTGGGTACAACTAAAAATTAATTTTTAAACATTTTTACATTAATATATGCATATTTTATGAAACAAAATTAAATTCAAGATATAATAATTCATAAACAAATGGTATATAATTCTTGTGTTTATATTTTATATATTTTTTTCAAAATACTTTAAAATGTTAATAAAATTATATCGCTAGATACTTGCAAATACAGTTTGATTTATTATATTGTTTATTACACCATTGAAAATGTTTTTATTAGGTAAACACTTTGCCCCTTCTTTGACGTAAAACATTTTCGAAATTTGGAAAACCTTTAATAGGTTTTAATTTTATTTTCTGCAACTTATAGATTTTCGTATCATTTTCTTAGTTGTATTTTAGTGTTGAATTATAACTACAGTATCTATACCGGGTGCTTCCCAAAGTGCTTTTTATTTTTTCAGATAAAAAATCGAGATTTGGTATGTTATTATATGACATGAATTAGGATTGATTGACGTATTCAATTGTTTTCCGTCACTTCCTGTTCTACCGGAAACGACTACAACTTTTGACTTTTAAATGGCTTCCTCGGTATTTTGTTCCTTAATTTAATAGAAAATGACACTCTAAATAGAATGACATCATATGTCAACTTTTGACATTTTTGAATACGGTTTATTTGAAATTGCGATATGCGATTCATGCGTTCCATTTGAAAAAATTGAGATTTGATTAAAAATACGATTTGGGCGTCTTTTAACCAGCCAGGACCAGACACGAAAATTCATTAGACCATCAAATCTATTTTTCCAAGTTTTCTTGGTTAAAAATGAGTGTTTTTAACACAGCCCTCCAGTTTTTAACACATTCGATTTTTTAAGCGAAAATGTCAAAAGTTGACATATATATCATTCTATTCAGAGCAGTGATTTTTAACCTGTGGGGCGCGCCCCCTAGGGGGGCGCGTTGTTGTTGCAAGGGAGACATGCAGCTGTTTCCAAAATATCATTTTCGAATACAAACCAAAAAATTAGAGGTATTTTTGTAAAATTTGTTTTATTACATTTAAAATTATTATTTCTTATAATAAATAATTATTTTTTTATGTATATTTTTACATAATATTGTATATTATTTTGTAGCCCATTAAATACATTATAATATCAGTTGAGTATTTATGAAATTAGATTGTTAGAAAAATTAAGGGGACGCAACAAATTCTTTTTTTTTCTAAGGGGGCGCAGGTACAAAAAGGTTGGAAACCACTGATTCAGACTATCATTTTCTATCGAATGAAGTAAAAAAATACCGAGGGTGCTATTTAAAAATCAAAAGTTGTAGTCATTTCCGGTGAAACAGGAAGTGACCGAAAACAATTGAATACGCCAATCCATCCTAATTTATGTCATATATTATCAAACCAAATTTCATTTTTTATCTGAAAAAATAAACAAGTTAGAGGGGTGAGCCACTTTTGAGACGCACCCGGTATATAATAATACCGACATATTAAACTATTTTTGATAGAAAAGTAATGGGTTTTAAGATAAATTTTGCATTATTCAACTTATTTTATTTTCCGCAATCTGTATTTTATTTTAAATTTGAAATTTTATTATATTTCTTCACTGTTATTCTCATTTAAGTTATTTACATATCTTTCTACAGGCCATCGTCAGTATATATTATTGTAATAAGTTCAGTCAGTATTATAAGTTTATTTTATGCATTTCAAAATTTTAAATATCTACTACTTTTGAATCTACGACTTTTGAATTTTTTTAAACAGGTAGGTTTTTATAAATATGTTTTATATCACCTGATAGATTGAAAATAAAATAAATAAAAAGTGTTTATATTATATTTATTTTGGAAATCAATCAATTTATGAAGTTACATTCAAAATTCAGAGAATCTGTTAGAGCTGCTAGATACTTTTATTTTCTGATGCAATCATCCTGAATATTTTCTTTACACCTTTCTTGAAAATATGTAAATATTCAACCCTTCTAAATAATAGTACCGTATGATCGAATAAAAACGGCGTCAGCGATGGCTATGAAATGACGATCGATGACATTTCCTATAGAATTTTACATATAAAATGACAGCGATCTTCATTTCACAGCCATCACTGACGCCGCGCCGTTTTTATTCGATCATACGGTATATTGTTTTATTAGGAGTAAAAATGACATTTTTCGTTGCGATGCTGTACGTTTGACATACAGCCGAGGCATAAAAAAATCATGTTTACACCGAATAGAACATGCTATTTTTCAAACGCCACAAATAATTGTTTAAACAATTTCAAACGTTCCAAATAATATAAAAAGATTTAAAAGTAATACCTTGTATGTATGTAATTATATATCGAGAAACTATGGTTACGGGGCTCGCTGAATTTGACGCTTTATGTCAGTTTAATCATATATTTTCGTACTTTTGTGCTTAGGCATAAAAGTGCTTTACTTTTATGCCTAGGCGTTATAATGAGACTTTTTTATTTTGTCATTCACTTCACAAAAGTGAATACTTTTGTGACGTTAGAAAAAAAGAGTTTATATTATGTTTATTTTGTAATTCACATAAGATGCATTCAAAATTCAGAGAAGCTGTTACAGCTGCATTTTTTTTTCTGATGCAATCATCCTGAATATTTTCTTTATACTTTTCTTGAATATATGTGAATAGTCAACCCTTCGAAATAAAAAGAGTTTATATTATGTTTATTTTAGAAATCAATTAAGGTGCATTCAAAATTCAGAGAAGCTGATACAGCTGCAATTTTTTTTCTGATGCAATTACCCTAAATATTTTCCTTAGACTTTTCTTGAAAATATACAAATATTCAACCCCTCTAAATAAAAAGTGTTTATGTTATGTTTATTTTAGAAATTAATTAAGGGACATTTAGAGAATCTTACAGCTGCTACTTTTATTTTCTGATGCAACCATCCTTAATATTTTCTTTATACTTTTCTTGAAAGTAATGCGAATATTCAACCTTTCTAAATATATCCACTGCACGGCGAATAATTTTTATTGCAACAATACTCAACGTATTTTAAGATAAGAATTGCATTTTTAGGCGGTCCTTGTTTATATACTTTAAATACTTAATGAAAGTTATTTTAATAAAAATATTCAAATTCTCTAAAATCTGATTTCCTGATATCCGAAAATTTTATCCAAAAATTTGGTAACAATTCATTATGTAAAACAGTACCTTAAACCTTTGTACATGGCAGAATAAACTGGATAACCGTATCTGTCCTTTCCAACATCTTCGGTATAGACCCATGTACCACCAAGTTCCGGTCTCATTTCGAACACGTCCAGGTCAAATCCAGACTGGGACACATGTCTGGCAGATGCCAGACCTGCTGCACCGGCTCCAATAATTGCAACACGCATTTTTTCAAATAAAAGTCCAATTTTAAAAATAAGATTTGAGAAAAAATTTACGGATATAGAAAGAAGTAAAATCGAGAGTGGTCACACGCGCGAGTGGAAAACGAACTCAGCTGAATGAAAGTCTGCGAACGAATGAGAGTAAACTCGTAGTAAAGTGTTTTAAATGTCCTTTGATTCGTAGTGTTTACACAGTGGCGGACTAATTACTCATTGATAAAAATGGTCTGTCTGGAGAACTGTTTCACGTTATAGTATCATGAAAATATAAGGAATTTAATTACATACTTCTGTTTTGTTTTGATTGAGATATTTTGCGGATAGAGCTACTGTATATTCTTTATCAAAATTTTCATTGCAAAATGCGTTCTTGTATACAGGGTGTAAATGAATAAGAGCCAAGAAAATAAGGAGGTTATTCCCTTTTAAAAAGTAGGTATAAAAATATGTTTTTTTTTCTTATAAAAAAATAAACATTTTAAAATTGGCGTTTCGCTATGAAACTAATTGCTTGTACAGGGTGCCCCATTTTGGTTGAAATCATACGGTATATCCGTTATTAGTGAAGATAGAAGGGTGCGGTTTGCACAACCCTGTCCCATTATTTTTGTCAAGCTGAGCTACAGCAAAATTTTCGAAAGGACCCTGTAGCTCAGAAACGAAGAGGGCTATGAAATTTTTGTTTACAGCATTTTCCGTTTGACAAAAAAATGAGACAGGATGGTGCAAACCGCATCCTCCTATCTTTACTAATAACGGAGATACCGTATGATTTCAACCAAAATGGGACACCCTGTACAGAGCGACCCATATTTTGTGCCTGGTTATTATAAACTAAGTCACGTTTTTAGTTAGAATTATTATTTGGACATGTTATATTATTATAACATGTCCAAAATATATTGCTACAGATTCGAGGTACGAGCATTGGTATCTCGGAAACCGTAGATACTCAGATGGTTAAATTGGGACAAATTTGCGCCTTGAGATGTTCACCAAGATGCCATCATTTTTTTTAAATCAAGGATTGCTGAGTTTTTTGAAAAAAAGGAATTTTTTTGAAAATCAATTTTATTTTTTCCTGTAGTTACTTTTTAGAAAATCGAAAAACCATTTGCGATAATACTTTTAGATTTTCAAATTAGCTGATAACTTGTGAGATACAGGGGCCAACTTAATTTTTTTAAATACGGAGCTGCATTTTTAATTTTAGGTTTTGAAAAAACTCAGGTGTCGGTTCGTGTATCGTGTCACGGCAATGAATTTTTACTCCCAGTCCGCGTAAAAAGTTTCATTTAAAAAAAAATGGAGAACGCCGTTAGTGATACCACCTAATCTTTTTTTGACAGGGCTGTATTTGTTCTCTTTTAACATTTACACAACTATTTTTTAATATTTTTCAAGTGGAACTTCTTTACGCGCGCTGGGAGTAAAATTTCACAACCTCGGCTCAGATGTTCAAAATATACAAATTTTAGATTGATCAAGTTTTAACACTAATGCATAATTCTGTTTTCTTTCTTTGTTTTAATAGTTGATAAATTATTGTTATTTGCGAGTATTTATTTTAAATAAATGCATATATCTCAGTAACAGTTCAGTTAATTTTCTCCAACACCGAAAATGTTAATATATTATATTTATATTCAAATTTTGTAAATACAATTTAATTATAAATTCATAGTACCAGACATGTAATAGTGGATTGAATATGTATATCTTTCATAATATTTAACGTTTTATTGATTATTACAAATAAGTGAACAAACTGATCTTTTATTCATAATATTTGTCTTTCACTTAATATTATAACATAATACTAAAATCTTATGTCAAAATAGAAAACAACGTTTGAAATATATAAGTTATTATTAGCATTACTGTATAATAAAATTCCTTGAAAGCTAGTGTAGTGCTAGTTCTAATTAGTCCATTTTACAATAAATCAGTTTTGGGAGAATTGTAATATTCTGATGTGACATTGTATAATAATGAATAGTTTTAAATTCAATGTAGGCCATTGTTATAAAACTAGTGTTGCACAAGACAATTCTTGTCTTGAAAATCAATTTCTTGTCTTGTCTTGAAATTCAAGACAAGCAATTTTCAAGTTTTCATTTCAAATTCATTCATTTTCTTGTCTTGCAGATTTCTTGAATGGCAAAGTCTTGTCTTGTCTTGCAAGACTCTTGAAATTTCTTGTCTTGAAAAATTTTACATTCTAACAAAAAGGTAATAATATTTCTATATTTTATTTCATTGACAGCGTCGTATACAAAATGTAATACGGAAAAATGAACAACAATGATGCTAATTTTAGCAAAAAAAATCTTAACGGATTGCAAACGAACTACGTCAACTCGCCAGTTTGACGAATCAGGAGCCATTACCAAATAAAATCTGAATAAGAATAAGTAAGGTTAAGTTCGATTTATGGGTTTTGGGTTATTATTTCGTACCTAACCTTGTGCGTTAAATAAAATAATGCCAATTACCAATATACGATTTGTTGCCTCGGCTTTATTTTATTTCATTCTCAACTCTAAAACACTGGCTATGACAGAAAAAAAAAATGAACACTGGTCAATATTAATGCCGGGTTTATACAACATTTGCATAAGTCGTAATCATAATCACAGTCTTAATCATCGTCACAATCACAACGCAATCTCGATCTACGCAATCGATTTTATATCAGTGAAGTTGGGTAACATAATTAAAGGCTAAGTTCATGGTAAATGTCAACAGGTTTATAAGAAGTGGATAGTTTAACTTTTATGATTGTGATTACGACTATGTAAATGTTGTATAAACCCGACATAACTTGCGCAAAGACCTAATTATCACTTAAAAAAATGTATCATTTCTAACTTTCAAGAAATCTGACAAGACTCTTGAAATTTCTTGCATATTAAAGTCTTGTGTTGTCTTGATTTTCAAGACAAGAAATTTTGAAAGTCTTGTCTTGAATTTCTTGCAAGAGTCTTGGCCTTGCAAGACTTTTTCAAGACTCTTGTTCAACATTATATAAAACAGATACTAAATTGAATAACTCTCTAAGCTTTTGAGCAACAATTTCAGATTTTGGTGTCCAAGGTTTTTGAATTGTCCACCTTATTTGGGTTGAATCATCCTGTTTCCTGTATATTTATACAGGGCATTAAAATATGGGTTTTTATTTGAAAAAAGGAGTTATGATAAGTTTTTTATTGTTCGATTCAAAGGCAGCTACAGCCAACGACATATGAAAACAATGTTTGAAATATAACACGCGGGTTCAAACTGGAGAACGCCGTCAGAGATACCACCTAATCTCTTTTTGACAGAGTCGTATTTGTCTTCTTTTAACATTTACACAACTATATTTTAATATTTTTGAAGTGAAACTTCTTTACGCGCGATGGACGTAAAAATTCAAGGCCGTGACAGACGAGCTAGCGAGACACAGACGTTCAAATTACACGAATTTTAGGTTGATAAAATTTTAACACTATTGCCTAATTCTGCGTCTTTTTTTTTCTTTGTTTTATTAGTTGATAATTTATTGTTACTGGCGAGTATCTATTTTAATTAACTGCATATCGCAGTAACAGTTGAGTTAATTTTCTGCAACTCCGAAAATATTAATATTTATATTTAATTATAAATTCATAGTAACAGACATGTTATAGAGGATTGAATATGTATATCTTTCTTCATTCATGACGTTTTATTGATTATTACTACTACTACTGCCATTACTCGCTGACGAGTATTTGACACGCATCAGAAGATGGTCACGCAAGGCGTTTTCTTGCATGAACTTGTTCAAAATATACAAATTTTAGATTGATCAAGTTTTAACACTAATGCATAATTCTGTTTTCTTTCTTTGTTTTAATAGTTGATAAATTATTGTTATTTGCGAGTATTTATTTTAAATAAATGCATATATCTCAGTAACAGTTCAGTTAATTTTCTCCAACACCCAAAATGTTAATATATTATATTTATATTCAAATTTTGTAAATACAATTTAATTATAAATTCATAGTACCAGACATGTAATAGTGGATTGAATATGTATATCTTTCATAATATTTAACGTTTTATTGATTATTACAAATAAGTGAACAAACTATAATCTTTTATTCATAATATTTGTCTTTCGCTTATTACCACATAGTATTAAAATTTTACGTCAAAGTAGAAAAGAATATCAAATAATATAAGATATATAAGATAGGAGGGGGGGATTTTTATATTATAAATTACTGTATAATAAAATTCCTTAAAAGCTAGTAGTGTGTAGTGCTAGTTCTAATTAGTCCATTAAAAAAAATCAGCTTTGGAAGAATTTGTAATATTCTGATGTGATATTGTATAATAGTGAATAGTTTTAAATTAAATGTAGGTCATTTTTATAAAATAAAAGATGCTGAATTAAATAACTTTTTAAGCTTTTCAGCGAGATTTTCAGATTTTGATGTCCAAGGTTTTTGAATTGTCCACCCTTTATTGCATCACCCTGTATTCTGTATATCTATACAGGGTGTCAAAATATGGGGTTTTATTAGAAAAAAGAAGTTTTAGGATAAACTTTTGATAGCTCGATTCAAAGGCAACCTATGAATATAAATTTGGAAATTTTATTTTTGAAATGAATATCTGTCTTTAGGATACAGTGTTTGAACTAAACACTAACAATGACATTAAGGTTATAATATATTTTGTCCAACGACACAGGAAAAATTTCAACAGGCGACATCCAAAAAATGACAGAAATTACAATTTGTCTGTGAATTAAAATGACAGGCACAACTGTAACTCTCAGGGATTCTGTCGTTTGACAGACTATATACAAGGTGACCCAGGAGTAGGAGATATTAGCCGATTGGGCTCCTCCACATGCGCAGTTCGCTTGACCTTGACATATGTGGCTTTCAAACCTCCTTGAGTGATTCCAGAAAGAACCTTGTTGTGAGACCTTAAACGACCTTTAAGGTTGACTTTCAGATGTATTTGAAATGCGTTTGTGTACCCTTCACAAGATTTGCCATTAAATTTCCATTCCAAAATACCATAATGGTATATATCCGTACTAAACCGAGTGGTTTGTGAAACATACCCGTTTTTAACCTAAATTTACTGCTTTTTTAAGGCCCTTTTAAAATTCTAAATTCAAAGAATTTAATTTTTTAATAGGAAATACAGTATAATAGTGTCTTCTTCAAAATTCAGTCTACCAAAATTTGCAATCTTGTTTGATATGTACAG